AACGTTTCAAGATGCGAGACTTCACTGACTGACTTAACCTCAGTGTAATCACGTGTGTATAGTTACAGTCGTACTGTTTATCCTTACACCAAATGTTAACTCTGTTAGTCATTATTAAGTTGGGTTTTAGTTTTCTTTTAATGTATTTTTTATACAAAGTTATTGTTAAATCTTGATTTCGATCTAATTATTAATTGATTAATGAGCTAATTAAATTCACTGTATATATATTTTTTTCATATTTCCCATGTTACATAGTTATAATTCGAGCACTAGTTTTATTAAGCCTATTTATGAAGTCTCCCACGTTACATATTTACAATTCGAGCACTGGTTGCATTAAGCCTATTTATGAAGTTTCCCGTGTTACATAGTTACAATTCGAGCACTGATTTCATTAAGCCTATTTATGAAGTTTCCCGTGTTACATAGTTATAATTAATCTTATAAAAATGAATAAGGAAATATCGTAGATGTTAAAATTATTCGGGATGTTTTATCTTATCCTGTTGAACTTAAAGTCAAACATGACATCTTTATTTCAGATATTTTAATTTCTTTCTGACAAATCCTTACACTGTAATGTAGATATTAATTAAACTCCACAGAAAGATCAGAAGAAGACCATATTTCTGGAAGCACACTAGACAAAGAATACTTAGCCAGTTTTATCAAGGTAAAATCTCAACGGTTTTCTTTAGCATGAAAATAGTACATTTATTTATTTATTTGTTTTATTCTGATTGGATAAAGTATGATTTTAGTTTTCGTTTAATTTTTTTTTATGATTATATATATAATGCCTTTTCTGTAGCTCTTTGGGTTATACAGTATTGGCCAAATAAATTAATGTTTTGTTTCTGTCCAAAGGATGTAAAGAAATACCCTGACTTATCTGATGAAGAGGTCGTTTGCTTAGTTGCAGCTCAACTCACAGAGCAAAAGGAACATAGCCCACTGTGGTATCGTGTTAGAGCTGTTAGAAATATCACAGGAGGAAGAAAACTAAAACCTTGTCTCAATCGGAAGCTACAACAAGTCAGTAACGTATCAAGTTCAGATATGGTTTAGTGGCTCATTTTGAACGTTTTGATAGCAATAGACGGATCTGTGAATCAAATCAGGGTGTTTTCAAATAGTAGAAACAATTGTGTGAATTCGGTAGAAATATAAGACAAAAATTATAAATGAAAAATAACTTAAATCCAACTATCGAGATACAAACTATACTAAACAACACATAATAAAAATCTAAATTATTAATATTTCTTACTGAATACACGATGATAACCTGTTGGAAAACAATTTATTGAAAAACAACACCGAAATTTGGTTTTCTGGTAACAGTTGTTAAATCATTCATAACTGGTTGTTAAATAACTTCCGATACCAATAACTGATAAGAATAATAAATCGTTTCGTTAGTAAAAATTGTCTAAACGTCTGTCATACTTACTGATTATTTTTTCTAAGTTACCACCGACTGAAACACTCGGTGTTACGTTTGTTTGTTATTATTAAACATATATTTAATATTTTACTCGAATTTTTGGAATTAAAATCCAAATTAAATTTAATACTAGCTGTAGCAATGACGTTTCAGTGGGTCGCTTACGTAGCTAAAGAAATATAATGTAGCTGTTGCGTGGACAATAATGTTATATTCAAAAGCTTGAGTCAGATTGTCAGATCTCGTTGGCATTTAGCATCTGTAATATATTATTATTTTGTCTCAAGCCTAATATCTGGTATGCCAAGTGAATATACGTTGAATAGGTGGAAAGAAGAAGTAACAGTGACTTGAGGTTTGAAGATAGACAAGGAACAATGAAAATATTTAGGCCTATTCACAGTGAAAACAAGAAGCCAAAACGCAATATATTTTACTATATTTATTAGGCCTAATTATGATTTCGCTAGCTTAGGCGTTTTACACTTTAAAAATGAAAACACTTCTAAAATTGTTTGGTAAAAAAAAGGTACAACAAGCGTTTAAGTTCTCAAGAAATGAATAAATAAACTTTTTCCCAGAGACTGATTTTGGTTAATGAATATTTGTTTGTTCTTGTAGGTGTATAAAACAATCTTAGATAAAAAACAAAAAACTTGCGATGATCGGGATGTCGCCATCGTAGAGTTCTGTGCTGCCACCTGTGCTTGTATGGAAAATGCTGGACACGTAGCAGTCAACGTTCATCGTTATGGTAACATATCCTGTCCTGTATCATGCGGGTAAGAGTAGTTAGTGTCCGGTCCTGTATCGTGCAGGTTAAAATAGGTAATGTTCTGTCCTGTATCGTGCAGGTTAAAATAGATAGTGTTCAGATCTGTATCGTACTGGTTAGTGTAAATAGTGTCCAGTCCTGTATCGTGCAGGTTAAAATAGATAGTGTCCAGATCTGTATCGTACTGGTTAAAGTAAATAGTGTCCAGTCCTGTATCGTGCAGGTTAAAATAGATAGTGTTCAGATCTGTATCGTACTGGTTAGTGTAAATAGTGTCCAGTCCTGTATCGTGCAGGTTAAAATAGATAGTGTCCAGATCTGTATCGTACAAAAAAAGAGTAGTTAATGCTCAATCCTATATTGTGCAGGTAAGAATAAACAGTGTCCTGTTCTGTATGATGCAGGAAAGAGTAGTTGGTGTCCAGTCCTGTATCGTACTTATCACAGTTTATTGGCTTTGAGATAGTGAAAAGTGATTCACGACTTTATGGTTCGCTTGTTTTATTGGTTTCTTCTGTTTGTTATTAGGAAACCGTTAAAAATTAAACATATGAGCATTATTGAAATTGGATCATTTACTCTACGATACAGTAGTTTCAAAATTGCGATTTATTAGAAGTAACTAAATGTGTTTTAGACATTTTTATAGCATGCGACACCTGTTGTTTTATTCTTACACTGTTAAAGAAATATTTTGAAAAATTATTTCATCGCTCACAAATAATAAGTTTTATTTATATTTAAAATATAAAATGCTAAAGTTTATTTTAAATATTTCTAAATTATTTATCATTCAAATGTTGTGGTTAATTCATTACTTTCTGGTTAAGGGTTTACGTTCAATATTTTATGTTTGTGTTGATTAATTAATGTCGAACTGTCATATCGGTAGTCACAATCCTTCTTCGAAGTTCAATTTTCATGTTTCCTTGTTTTGAAGAATTCAAACACTAGATGGCACTGCAATTGCTGGAGAGGATTACGTGCCATTGAAAACGACATTAACGTTTGAGCCGAATGAAACAGTAAAGAAAATATTTGTGGAGATCATCAACGACAACCAATGGGAACCTAATGAATCATTCTATCTAAAATTAAGGGTTAGTGAAGCCGATCGAAGACACGCTACTCTTGGACGACTTTGTACTATGGAGATTACCATTATAAATGATGACGGTACTTATTTATCTTCTTACCGTATAAGATGCTTCGTGTAATTATGTATTATTAGTAGTCCAAACACCTCTTATTACTTATTACGCCTATTTTAGCATTAATTACAAGACGAAGGTCGCAGTTTGACCACTTTTTAGTACTGACCAACATCAGAGACATTTGAGAGAGAGTTATGAACAATAGTTTGTTTGTTTGTTTTAACGTAAAGCTACACAGTAGGATATCCGTGATATGTCTGCAGCAGGGATCGAACTCCGGATTTAGCTTTTGTAGTCCCGTAAACTTCCCGCTGACCCACTGGGGAAAAACGAATAACGGTAAACAAGGATATTGTATAGTAGATACGAATCGGCTGTTTATCTTCCAAATGAACAGTACAACCGACCGATTATCTATCAAATAAACAGTTAGCCCGACTGTTTATCTACCAAATAAACAGTAAAAAAACTGCTGTTCATTTGGAAGATAAATGGTTACACTGGTAGATAAAAAAGTCACAGTTTAAAGAGTAGTTCGATGTTCTCAGAGTGTTTCTATTAAAAAACAACAACTAACAAAAACAATCAAGACGTGATTTCTTGCAGAACAAGTTTTGTTTTTTTCTTTATTATTGAAAAACCACATTTTAAATGTTTTGGGTCCTAGAAAAAAAAATTAAACATGTCAAAAATATTGTTTCAGACCCACGCCTCACAAGTTACACAATAAGTTCCTTTTTACCAAGATCTGGCATGGCTTGGTGGTTAGGACAGTCAGCCTACGAACCCTACCACTGGACATACTAACCTTTTCAATCCGTGGGGCATTCTAATGTGACAGTCAATCCCACTATTTATTGGTAAATAGTAGCTCAAAAGTTGGCGTTGGGTGGTGTTTCCTCTGGTCTACCACTTCCCTAGTTCAAATAGCCATTGAAAAAGAAAAAGAAGAAGAAGAAACTGTCATCCTCGTGATTCATGTAAAGTTCAGATTTTACTAACGTTTTTTTCGATTCAAGGGAGTTCACATGTATTTCAACGCCTTTCAGATGTTTAATTATTACCTACTAATTTGATTACGATATCTGACTTTTATTTTTGCAGAACCTGGAATTTTGCAGTTGAAACATCGTCATCTTCTAATTAAGGAAAATGTCGGAAGAGCTGTCATTCCGGTGATAAGAACGCAAGGTATCGATGGAACTGTAGCCACTAGATGGCGTAGTATTAACGGAACTGCTTTGAACGGACGGGATTACGTGGGAGGAGAACGGGAACTTCAATTTGGAAATGGTGAAGTAGAGAAGTATATCGAGATCCCTATAGTAAATAACCTTAGTCCTGAGAAGGATATGAACTTTGAGGTAGAACTTTTTGAACCCAAAGGAGGCGCTACGATTGGTAAAGTCAAACGAGTGACCGTCACAATCACCAACGATGATGGTAATTTAGTCCGTTTGTTATTTCGTTAATGATAAGAACCATTAGAAATTTGAATGGTATTTCTGACGAGAACTTTTATAAGTAGACGATTCCTAGGTTACTCTAGGGTTTTAAAGGCTGTTCCAAATTACTACAATCAAGTATTTTATTCAGAAGTTTAGCAGGTCGCTAGTTCTATCAAATAAGTTATCAGTGACCTTATAGAACATTGTTATACCGAGTCACTTTCTTACTAGTCTTAACACTACAAAAGAGGTGAGGGATTATTAAGTGTTAGCATATGCGCACATGCAGGAGACGTCAGAAAACGTTTGATATAGATAAAGCCATTATTTGTTCTATAGAAAGTTTTTGTTTCGGATATTCGTGCAAAGCTATCTGCGCTAGCCAACTCTATTTTTGAACTGATAGTCTAGAGGGCATGTAACTAGTCAAAGCAACCACCGAAAACTCTAATTAAATAGTTGAATTTGACTGCGACTTTTATAACTTACCCATGACCCCAAAGTACGGAGCCCGACTTTGTGGTAAACGGACACAAATCTACAGCAAAGAAAGCTAACCATTAGGTCAGAGTTTCAGTAGTTTTATGCAGATGTTCTACAGTTAGTTAACGTCCATGTGAACAGGATGTGAGTGGTCGTAAGTTTGCTAAAGTTACATACCTCAGTGGTCATTTGATATAGCTTTTACTTGCATGACCATTATTTTGTGTCATCAGATCTCTTGGGATGTGGAGGGGGTAGTAAAGACCTCGGACCACTCGGGTGACATTGATATTTTCTGTTTTCCTTTTCACAAAGGAAATACTTAACCAAATTGCACGAAACGTAGTCTAAGCTTACTAACTGGTATAGCTTCTGCTTAAAAATAATTCATATCCTTTGATTTAGTATTTTTATCATTTTAAGGCAGCGAATCTTCTAAAGTTTCGTATTAGACACTGTTTTGAAAAGAAATGCTTCATTTTGTCTTAGAATTTCTTTATTGTTGATCAGAAAATTCCATTTCATATATCCAGTCAATTTGGTTGATTTTGAAACTTTATTTTACCGGTTGCAGTAGTTATTAATTCTGACTATAAATCGTAAAAAAATACCACATAAAAAGTCAAATATTTATAAGTGACGTAAGAAATTATATTTCAAAATGGCGTCAGGTCAGGCTAGGTAACAATGTTTCTGCTAACAATATAGTTGTTTGAGATCAATTTATGTCTGTTGAATATAATTTATTGTCAGTATAAGTTCGTTTATTTATGTGCGTTGTTTGAATATAATAAACTTAACAATAATATTCAATAAATTTGAGACAACGAAGTATTTTGTCGCCATCTGCTGTACTCTCTAAACCTAATAAGGCTTACCACATGTCTTGTCACGGAAGAACATGTACGTAACTTTCAAATAGATATAATGTAAAACGAAAACATTTTCAAGAATGAAAAAAAACATCCAAAGTAATTATAAAAAAAAATCAAAGATCTGTAGTTTGTTCCTAAATCTTCTGAACTTCCCATTAGATTCCTTCTTACAGGATTTAGGTCTTGCTACTTCCCCACAGAACTGTAAGTTACTTCTCAAGCCCCCTTATTCATTTTGTGGTATTTAAACTTCACCTGTAACTATATTCAAAGCTGAGCTCATTAGCAGTTGTTCAGATCACATCTTGTGAGATCACCAAATAAAATCGGTGAAAAACGAGGAAAGTTACTTGAGAAACAAAACATGAATAATTGTTTGTTTGTTTTGAATTTCGCGCAAAACTACACGAAAGCTATCTGCGCTAGCCGTCTCTAATTTAGCAGGGAAGGCAGCTAGTCATCACCATCCAACGCCAACTCTTGGGCTACTCTTTTTTACCAACGAATAGTGGGATTGACCGACACATATTATAACGCCCCACGGCTGAAAGGACGGGCATGTTTGGTGTGACGGGGATTTGAACCCGCAGATTGCAACATGAATAACTATATTCTGAAGGGATGGTAGTTTCATATCAATTATAAACCCATGCTTCGAGAGGGATGGACGGAATGTTTAATAAAATTTATAAGTGTTATTATAGGACAGATTCCTCGGAGCTGCCCAGAAATGCACTTTTCAACACTACTTTAATTTGTCTTTGCAAATTACACTGAATAACTGTTACAAAATGGCAATTCTAAAATGTTTTTGAACTAAAAATTTTTGAAACAGAGTAGAATTATTATTTCTAATAAAAGTTTCAAACTTGCTATGTAGGTGTGCACTCAAACCCTGAAAGGTGCTCACCAGTCGTGATAGGGAAATGTTTAAGCTTGATATGTAGGTGCACACTCAAACCCTGAAAGGTGCTCACCAGTCGTGATAGGGAAATGTTTAAGCTTGATATGTAGGTGTGCCCTCAAACCCTGAAAGGTGCTCACCGGTCGTGATAGGGCTAGAAACGGAGCTGGGAGTTCGTCTCCCCTTGAATTAATAAAATTGGAATGATAACTGAAGCAGGTACTTTAGAACTGTAGGATACTGCACTAGGACTTTGGTCTGACTTAACATTCTCTCTTCTTTAAGCGCAGAAATCACTTTCTCTTCTGCAACAGTTAGATAGTTTAAAGAACAATGAAGTCAGCCAACCGAAAACGTGTGATAAGTGAAAACACCGAACGCGATGTACACTTATATCCGAGTCCTTCCTTTCCTGTTCCGAACCATTTCCTCCTGTTATTGCGATAATCTGTACTTACCTGTCGAACACTAGTGAGCCTAAGTACAATTGTCAGATTTTGTTAGAGGAAGGATAGTTGGTCAAGCAGATGGTGGAATAAGTCAGCGGCAAATTTCGCAGAATGT